CTTAATCTGTAGCTGATAATAAATAATGCTCAGGTAAGGCAAGAAAGTTCCTGGACTGAAATAGCAGATCAGCTTTTTACAAACTTAATCTCTTTTGAAACATAAAATTGAATTTTAATAAAGTTTGCTTAAACTGGCATCTTACCACGATGGAGAAAAGATTTATGGAACAAGGAGTTAGGAGAAAAGGGGTTAGTGTTGCCTTCTGTTGTGAATACTTGCATGTTACCTTCATGACTGACTCATTATTTACATGACAGCGTATTTTACTCTACCAGAGTTTTTTCTTCTGAAGAATATTTTATGTATTTTTCAAACTTTTATTTATACCTATTGCATGGAAAAAATTGCATATCAAGGTCTACTTACAGTGCAGTGTGCCTATTTAAATAAGAGAATATAGTATTTGTTCTGCCAGTTGCTTTTTATATTCCTGTCTCTTTTCAGTAACTTCTATTTGAGCTTCTATAGGTGTTTATTAATTGTGAGGCTTTTTAGTTGGAATTTGAGTGGCTTYTATTGTTACGCCTCAGTCTTTCTTTCGAATTATCATCTCTGCTTGTTCCTTTTTGCACTTTCATTTATTAAATAGAATGTAAAATAAACTAATACTTACAGAATCTAATTCACAGTAGGCAAAATATTGAATTTCTGTAAAACAATGCAGAACTAGAATTCATATATAATATGCTGCAATACATAAAAGGAAAATGATTAAATCATATCTCACTTACAATAGATCTTTTTGATAGGAGCAAAATCTGTCCCATTAGTTCCAGACCGTGTGTTTCCCATTCACAGTGCTTTGGTGCCTAACTTATAAATCTGTCTTCATCATCCTATATTACTTTTTCAAAGCAAGACTAACATGAAGCAAGACAGGATGAATGAAAGTCAATGAAGGTCGACCAGACAATCCAATTACTAAAGATTCTTGGAAAAACAGTACTGTGATGTATAATAGAATTGTGTGTTAATTTCTCTCTTTTTTCACAAGGGTCATTTCTATAAAACTGCAGTATATTTTTTATGGTAATCTCGTTTTAGATTGTGCTAGTCTAATCTGTTTGTATAATACATCAGAATGTCAGTTATTTAAAAATTTGTTAGTTTACAGAAGCCATAATGTAATACACATTTCATGTTCCTGTTCTGTTACTGAAGTAGTGAAGATGTAGTATACAGCTATATGTTGTATAACGAAGAGGCAGTGTTAAGGTATAATCATTGCATACATATCACTGCTAATTTTCCATGAGTTTTTTGTTGTCACTTGCTTATTTTTCTTTCATTCTGCTGAATAAACCATCTCTTGCAAGTGTAATGCACATTGATACAGTAAAAGGGATAACTATTTCTGGCACATACTTCTGATAGAAATAGTGACCTGGCCTGCATGTTGAAGTTAAATACAAAAGTTTAAGTCAGTATAGAAACCGTCTGTGCTGGACACTGCGATGATGAAATAGAAAAAAAAGTCTAGGTAAGCAGAAGAATAGTTGTTTTCATTCTTAAAAGTATCCTTGAACTTTACTTTGTTGTTTCTGTTTCAAAGAAACACAGAATCAGGTTAAAAACTTCTGGGGTCACTGAGTCCAACCTTAGGCCAAGCACATTTTCAGCCAGACTGTGGCACTGGGTGCCACATCCAGGTTTCCTTCAACACCTTCAGCGTGGGGATTCTATGACCCCTCTGGGCAGGAATCACTATTCTAGTGTCTGGTCATCCTTGCAGATCTGGCTGAAAATTGCATACTTTTTCTCCCTGATACAAATAGGTCCAATTGAAAAAAAAAAAAAAGAAAAATAAAAGCTTCTTCCTACAGACTTCGTATTATTATGGTTTTGTACCATATATGATTAACGATAGATAGGATTTAGTTATCAGTTATTCTAATTAAAGACTAGATACTTCTACTTGATTACCATTCTACACATAAGTTTTGAACAAATTCCAAATTACTGCATGTTCTTGTTTTCCGCAAACCCTGCAAAAAGAAGAACAAAAAGACCCAATAAAAAACTAGCTTTTAACCTTTTAGCAGATATTTGGATTACAGGTATTTTGATATGGTATTTCCATGCATAGTCTCTCATATTCCTCTAAGAAGCTATTATAGTGAAATTGCAAGTGTGTGTGTGTATGTGTACATAGAAATGCATATACATATACTCCTTATATAAATGCACATACATATATTCTCCTATACAATCATAGGASAGTGGAGTTGCATTAAAAATATTTAACCAAACAGAATATCAGGTGGCCTTCATTACAGGCTGTCTGAATGGGAAGTGTGTTATTAAAAAATGAATTGTTCTTAATGACCTGGGTTCTGAAAAAGAAGTAATGATTTGCTAGATACTGGTATAACAAAGATGCTAAGGGAAAGTAAGAGAGTTGATTGAGACAATTTTTACATTGTTTCACAATGAAAGTTGAAATCATCTTCTGCAGGTGGTGGAGTTTTCTAGTTTGACAGCAAAAGACAGCATCTGTGAACTGAGTTAAAGATAGAAACGCTGCTATTTTATTTATAAATCGAGATTTATGAACTAATTGTTATTTGCAGTAGCAAAATACATGTCTGAATTACCACAGTAATTGTAAAGCATAATCAGGAAATGTCACACTCCTTTTGACTGGAAAATCATGAGGCTTGTCTTGGCATATGGAGGTAATGAAGAATCTTTTCTTGATTAGATAGATGCTGCATATCTAACAAGCACTGAAAAGGTTCACTGCTTATCTGTAAACTGTTTAATATATATGGTCATAATCTACTATTGCTGATTTTCATTAAAACTATTCTTTCCACAGATTTGGTTTAGATTTAAAAAAAAATACTATAACATGAAAAGAAGATTTTTTAAGACATAGAAATTTTACTGTTTGCCTTCAGCATGACATTATTTTCAAAGTCTTAATGCACCTGAATGTTAGCTATAAGTAAGAAATTATTTGTAGATTGAAGTTTTAAGCTCTGTATTGAATTTGTGATATTAGGCGTTTATGCTGTTGATGTTTCATTACTATATTTTTCTGATAGGTGAGGCAAAGCTGTCTGCAGCAGAGAGTTACACTAGAATCTTCTGTAGGAAATGTAGACTAAAATTGTAGGACTCCTTCTCAAAGATCATTAGCTGAATCAGAGGGTTTAATTTATTTTCTAGAAGAGATAAACTTTTGTTTTCCACCCCTGGTTTATTGCTGGTGTCATCGTATGTACTGCAAATCTATAAGTTTTTGACTCGTGGTAGTGCAAACTGCAAGTATTTAAGTCTTGTGATAGTATTTGTCACAGATTTTTTAGTAATCAGTATCTTAAAAAATGCAATACTTTGTGTGGCTGTGCTTAGCTTAGAGGAGTGTGCAAAATTGAAAATGTAAGGCTGGCAGATAATATCAAAGAAGAAATTTCTTTCTACATTGGTTTGTTTCTGTTCAAGCAGAAACATCTGCAGATTTCTGCAGATACCCCATGATCACTACCCAATTTGTGATTGAATCTGTTCAGCTGACCCTTTTCCCTTTCCTTTTGGCCTGTTTTCAGTTTAATCAGGTTCTAAATACACAGTCCCAGAAGGCTTGCCTTTTATTTGGCAGATGTGCAGCAATAAAAATCTTTGCTCACTGAGAAATTGTTGCTTTGAGAAAACGGTACTAGTTCTATAACAGTATGCAGTAACCCCAAAGCAATACAGCTTTTATGTGGTGGTGTGCCTATAAACCTGTATCTCTGGGTTATCTTTTCAAAAGTTGTTTTGCCAGAGCCCTTACGAAGGTCACCAGATGCTGCCAGAGTGCAGGAAAATGACATGTCGGTCAAGTAGGAACTCTGGGTAATGGTGATCCACAGCACAGCAGGAATAGTGTTCTTATATGTATTCACCTGAGGCTCACTTGTGCACTAGATTTTTCAAAACTTGTTTTGCCTTTGGGTTCTGTGGTAATGAGAAAACATTTAGAAATTCTGAGCGTTCTCAGCATTTAGGAGTCAGCATTCCAGACATGGTGAGATGTTCCTGAGCAGCAGAGCTGGAAAACACAGACTTTGTCCCACAGACACAGTATATAGTTTTTCATTACTGCAATTTTCACTGGGAACAAATACTTCTTACAGGAAAAAGAAACCCAAACAAAYCTAACTTGTTTAAAGGACGGTATGTAGGTGTCATAAGTTTTCCTATGTCACTGTGACATTCCTCACAAAGTTCCTGCTGATCATTCAGTGTACTTACAAAGCACTGCATTTATACAATGGATTGTATTTTATAGTTATTAGATTTTACTGGACAAGCTTAATTATAGATAAAAAATAATTGTATAAATAAATAAATCTCAAAAATTAACTAGGTAGCATCTCCATTTGGCTGATAACTGACACAGTGGTATATTGCTGTGAGATTTCAAATGTCATGTGAGAAACAGATGTAATGCTGCCTACTAAGTCTCATGTGAGAAACAGATGTAATGTTATCTTCAAGTAAAAATCATCAGTTGCTGTGTCTTAGTAAAAAATGAATATAAGAAAAGGAATACAAACTTAAGATAGTACACAATTTAAATTGTTTGACTAATCGATGATGAGTACAGCATGAGTCTACAGAATGACAGTAACAAATTCATTAGTATTTTCATTTTTGTTTCTGGTTTATGAAAATAGTGAATAGAATTGTCTCTTGGGTTATTTGCACATAAATAGGATGACAATAAGATTTGAATTTGTGACTGTCATCTTCTCTTGCCTTGTGTTGCTTCTTTCTTCTYCTTCTGCCAAAAATATTTTTTGTTCCTGATTTTCATGGATATGTATCCGTTTCTGTGCATACCCAATCATTTCTCGCAAAGTCTTGAAATAAATAATAGCATTGRTAATAATAATAATACTGAAAGTCTGAATGAGCAGCCTGCCATTGCTAACTAGAAATGCTTAAACTGTATATAGTATGTGCTTATATCACCTATTGAACTGTTACCTGTTTATCTTTTCTGTAGGTGACAGATCAGTCGGTAAAAGCTTTTGCTGAACATTGCCCTGAGCTGCAGTATGTTGGTTTCATGGGCTGCTCTGTTACTTCAAAAGGCGTCATCCACCTTACCAATGTAAGTATCATAAGTACTTTCTGCTAGTCATTGGTGTATTTGACTATAGCCATGTCACAGGTATCAGCCAGAGTAAGTCTTTGTGTATGATTTATAGCACTGACATGGATGAAAACAGGACAAAGTAAGTCAATTTTGCATTATTTGAGCAGTCACATTCAGATTTCAGTGCGTAAAAATACTGTACCAAAAATGTATCCATGGAATTATATCTTTTCTCACAAGTAACAGTGATGTTCAGGTCAAAAGTCTTTAAAATGCATACTTACAATTGATTTCATTGCAAACAAAACAAAGGGCCATTTTAAAATGCAAAATTCTAATTGCAAGAGATTTAGACACACCACTGGTTCCAGCAGTGTACCCTTTGTGCATGTACATTTTGAATATATTTATCTCCCTGTTTTACAGATAGTGTGACAGATACATTTTATTTTCTTTCTTTTTACTTTAGAGGAGTGATGTGGGAGAACTAACTCGAGTGAATCTGCAGAATATAATTGAAGTGTTCAATAAAATTGATAACTTGGATGAGGTGGACAAACAATCTAATTAAAATTTGTAACTGAAAGTAAATCCAGGGATCATGCAAAGATAAAATGGTTAAAGAGATATTGAGGTAGGAAGTAGAGAGCATATTTAATGGAAGTAGAATGTGCCTGATTAAAGCAAAGGTTTTTTGATGCAACTGTGCAGCTCTCCTATTGTTATACAGAACCATTCAGCATATCTGTGAATTACTTTCATCATTTTAGAATTGCTTAGCTGAAGATACAGAATAATTGAAAACATTTTGGAGCACATGCAAAAGGAAATAAGCCAAGGAAATTAATTTGCACAGGAAAGTTATAGGGCCTCACTGAATGCCATTTTGAAAGACTGTATATGGAAATGATGAGTAAAAGGTGTGCATATCTCTGGGAGAAAAAAATTATACAATTGCTTTCATGTCCTATGAAAACTACATATGCGTAACTATAATAACTAAAGATTATATTTATATACACAGCATAAATATAGGAGCTGCACAGTTTAGAAGTTTTTAATTAATATATATTTCTGATTTTTATGTGTTTAATAATAATAAATTGTTAGAAATCCTGATTCTCATAGGAGTGACCCTGTTAAACATGGTCCTTCAGAAAAGCTGCTCAGACGCTTRCTATGTAATTACTTTGTAAGTAATTGGTGCGTGTTGGGACTTGAGATTTAGGTATTTCAGTTTCCTTATCTCAAGCTGCATCTGTACAATTTTCTGTAGGCTGTGCAAAGACAGTGATGTGATAACACTGAAAGTTAGGGATTGCTTTACTTGGAGAAGGGTCAAGAGAGACCTGATTGTAAYCTTTCAATACTTAAAGGGGGTTTGTAAGAAAGGTGGGGAGAGGCATTTTAGAAAAGCCTGTAGCAAGCAGCAACATGATCAGCTGCATCTCTGTTTTCCAGAATTCATCTGCTGATGACATAATTTTTTGTTCTCACCATCATGTATTTCCTATAGTTAGATTTGTGTTGAGTACTTAACTGGTGCTTCCTGAGCATTTAGTACTATTTCTAGTCTTCCAGTTCCTAGAGAATGTGGAATCTGCTCTTTGCTCCATGTGCCCTGTGTGTGTGTCTGCAGGGCTATGTTCCCTTCTGTCCTGCTTCCAGTGTGCAAACCAGAGATAAAGCAGTGGCCTTGGTTGTGAAATTGCTTTGAGGCTGATGGATCTATAAAAATTGAGTAGTTTATTGTTACAGTATTTTCCCCCTAGTAATGTTAGCTCTCTTTAAAAATACTGGCACTTGAAAAATTCTAAATTACAGTGCTGCTATGTGGCAGAGCTTTTTTAATTGCTAATTGTGGGGTATGGCAGAGAAAGTGTTGTGTACTTCAGAAAAAGAAGAAACATTCAGGGTTTATTTTATTATTTTTATACTGAACAGAATGGCAGTCAAAAAAAATTTGCCTTTTGAGCAAGACCATGTCATCCCACTGGTACCTTTTTTCCTTGCAGTTATTATAAACTGRAGAAAATACACATAAAGTAAATGATTATTGAGTAAGATGAGAGGCACTTCTGTACATACCCAGGAAGAAAGGGAAAGAGCAGTGTATTTGTATGCAATTCATCATTAGACTCTCAGTTGAAACTAGTGGTTTCATTTTCCTTTGGAGTTGTAATATGTTACGACTGTATGGAACATTGTCACTAAAAAGTGAATGATCTTCTCCATGACATCAGATAATTATCCAACACTTAACAATGTTGTTTCTGTGGAGGAGGGAAGAACATGTGTGGTGTTGTGGTTCATCTTCTGTTTTCAGCACATCTTTACCTATTGTTTTCTTGTTTTACCTTTCTTTATAATGTGTTTTATTGTTTACTTAGTTTGCCATGTATGATTTGTTTTTTCTTGTTTGCACTCTTTCTCCCTTCCGCACATCGTTGTCTCTCAAGAGTTTATTCCTGGTTATTTTTTGTGGGGGTGCAGGCCTTGGACAGCAGTGAGCTGTTAGCCTTGGTGAACATAAAACCTTGGATAAATAGATACAATTAGCACACAGGGAGATCAGTACTGAGGCCTTGGGAAAAGAACAGAGAAAGAATGAGAAAAGGAACATAGAACAGCTTCACCCATGTGCTATACATTGTATGCGAAATAGAGACTGATAGTTGATTGTTTGAATTATTATAAAACGCTAAATAGTTTTTAGAATAAACAGGCTTTGCATGCACCCACTTGGCACAGTCTGTGTCTCAATCACTGGCAATTTTTTACTTTGGTTCTCATGTAAGTGTGAAGATCTACACAAATGTGGAAAGTTCCTCTGCACATTAGGTGATTGTGTTGAAGACAGAACAATCAGATGGGTGATGTTAATTCATTAATTAGGTGGGAATAAGAAACTTAGTATTCTTACTAGTGAGGTAGTGATTTTTTAATGTTATATCTTTGACCTCAAGAGCAGTGGCATTTTCCCTCCCCTGTTGTGGTAATTGCTTCTCCACAGTTTAATTGTTGCACTTCTAATAGAATTTTAGCAGCTGGCATCAGCAAATCTTGACATCTAGATATAATTTTATTACAAAGCAACTTCCTTGGCTTATTCCTTTGGTTTCTGATATATATGCAAGGGTAATTGCTTTGTAGCAATATAACTCTGCTTCTACACCATGTACTTCTGGCAGACTGGTAAAGTTTGTTACAGATATCTAATTATGTACGAGTCCTTGTACAGAATCTTGACAGAAAAAAATCCTGACTTACTCTGCTAATCACCAATGCATGAAGACAGTTAATCTAAGAGCTATTTTTAGAATAATGTGGTCTTTATTCTTTCTTCATCTCATAATGGTCACCCATGTCCAATCCAACTTAGTGATACCTGTGTCTGAGTTAGTGGCCAATATGAAGTCAATCAAAATTCAGATTTATGGAGCAAATTCTTAGGGCTTATTCAGTGTAGACATCATCAGCTTGACAGATACATAATGATAATCTACACATGACAGGACTGATTTTGCAAGAAAAATTTTTCTGAACTGGGGTAATGTATGGTTTCTTTCTAGTAACTGATTTGTTTTGACACATGGTTCTGCTTTATGCTCTCTTTATGGTAGTATTTCTCATACCTTCTGATCTCAAAATCATTAAGCTTCCCTAACTAAGGGCATGATTGCTGTTCTTTGGCTGGGTATAAAGAAAACAGTATTTTAATCAGTTTGTGTAAGGAACTGGATTTCATAAGATGAAATATGATTTATTTCAATTTGTTTGCCTTTAGTAATATATCCTTTTAAATATTAGTCTTCCAATCACGGGAAAAAGTCATTAAGTGAGGGTTTCTAAATACAGTGATCTTGGAAGATTCCTCATTAGTGTTGGCTAGATACTTTAACTGCTGTGGTGCTATGTAAGTGAACGTTTTTGCATCTTGTCAAAATGAACCTGATGATTTTGTTCAATGAGGTTAACTGTGAAGATATTCATGTCATTATTTTGAAGAATTTGATGGTTGTAACCAACTGCCATTTCTTTCAGTGAAATAAAGAAGACATTGAAGAGAAAATTGATTGCGTGGTTGAAAGGGTTTCAGTGTTCTGTGGGTCTATGAATTTTACACTTAACCTCCCCCCAAAAAAAGTTCATTAGCAGTACTTGACAGTAAATGACATACAGATATAAACTATGACTCAGCAAAAATGTAATTCTGCAGTTAAATTTAAGAGGTTATAAAGTGGAAATGAGTCTTGTAACATGGGTACTATGTGTGCAGTTTATGTGTATTCAAGTACCTTCTCTAGAGGTAATTAAATTTTGTGATTACAATACAGATTTTGATTGTGTAATTGTTTCTTAAACAATTGGACCTTAACGTGTCACAATAGCTAGGAATAGAAATTAAAATTTGTTAATATGCAAAACATTAAATCAATCTATGGGAAAGTCGTTCTCCTCTGTCACTGTTCAATCATTTTCCCGTTCTTTAAACCAGGTATGATTACTGTTCCAGGATCACAGTATATCTCAATCATGTATTTCAGTTATGGCAGCTGTTCAGTAAAAATTAATGCATGTGACTTTTTAAAAAATAGTTTTAAATTCTATTGACAGAATAATGGAAAGAATGTAGATTACAATTTTTTTCACATTGCTGTTTTTCATTTCCTGTGATCTTACATTTGTTTTGGGAAACTCAAGTCAGAAAGCAGTTTATTCCCTGAAGGAATGTATACACAGAGAGTGTTAAGAAAATTAGGCTTAATTAGCAAAAGATGTGAGTTTGAAGCCCATTAAGTCCTTATAAGCACTTTTCCTTCAGAAATAATTYGGCTGTTGTACTGAAGAGGATTAATCTTACATGAATTGTTTAGTGGTGGACTTGGCGATTTCAGGTTTCAGTTGGACTCAGGCTTAGGGTTCTTTTCCAACTGAAATGATTCACTGATTCTATTCTGTTCTGTGATTYTTAAGGCAACATATTTCTACAGCAATTGTGGAAGTGTGCAGGGAGAAAAAGAATTGTGTATCCACTGTATGAGCGATATCCTCCAAAAGCAGCTAAATATTCACAGGAGTTGATACACCCCTACTGAAAAATTACCTATGATCCCAGTGGTAATAGTAATTTTCTAACACCTAAAACACTGCATGTATTTTAATATTACAAGTTTCWGTAGTCAAGTAGAAATCTTATTAATTCCATGACATTCAGGCACACAAATAGTGTGATGATCTCCAAATTTTCAAATATATCACTTGGCATAAAATTTCATTTAAATCAACTGACAGAATTCCTTTAAAAAACTCAAAGATTTTAGTATATTTAAAAATATTGCAATCCAGAACTAAAGGGTAATATTAACTAATTTCAGCAGAAATGTGTTTATATGTATCACAAAAAATTAGTTTAAATGTCATTGATGTCTTCTAATTTTGTTATTTTCTGTTTCATATTTTTAAGCCCTCTGCCTGCTATTTGCATTATCRGGTTTGTTGTCACATTAAATATTCTTTTTTCAGTTAAAACATTTTGACTGATGTAGTTGAGTTCAAGGTTTAAATTGTGCTCATGCATGCTTATTTGCAAAGCTATAAAATTAGGAGTTCAAGAAAAATTTTAATATCTGTACAAGACTGGCCCTGAAATTGTTCCATTAAATGGTGTTGCTGCATGAGCAAAATTAGTTTTGGATTTAAAAAAAAAACCACAAAAGGAAAACTTTAGGCATCCTAGTTCCATAAGATCAAGCTTTTAAGTCATGAAATGTTTTCTTTCTGTAGAGAAATGCTATTTAAAAGTATTTTAATCTCAAAATTTACAAATGCACTAAAGAATCTATCATCTAGTCTAAATTGTCAACTTTGAAGAAGTTTAATTTTTCTCTTTTATATACTACTTCTATCTTTGAGGATTACTAGTAGAATGTAAAACTTACATATTTTTCTCTTGCAGTATTTTTAATAGTAGTGATTGTATTGTTGTAGCATTTACCTACTAAAATTACTTTTCAGGTAAAATATATAACAGGAAATCTGTAATTAAGGTTTTTTAAATGATTTTTTAAAATAATTTTTTAAATGATTTTTTTTTTACATACCCATTTATAACAATTCCCTCACCATTTGTGACATATTGATACTTCTGGCTTAAGTAGGCAGAGAAATACTCTTTTCACTGTCATACTCAGATTGATCCAAAATTGCCTCAGAAGGGAATGTTCATCACGTTCTGAAGGTTTTGAAAGCCATCGGCACATCTGTGATGGCAATTATGAAGTTGTAGAGACCAAGTTATACTCGAGCATTTATCAATCTAAAGCAGTCTCTTCACACTTCTAAGACACGAAGGTTTTATGCATCAAGTGTGTTGTACTTGAGAAAAAGAACAATTGACCTTCCAAGTAGGTCAGGTGTCAGGGAGGCTGTTTTAAAATGGAGGAATATGAAAGTAAAAAAGGCAAGTGATAGCTGAGTTACTGTGTATTGAGTATGATTGAGTTACTGTGTATTGAGACTATTATTAGTATGAAGGAAAGAAGCAATGAGGGAACAATCACTGTAATGATAAAGAATAGAATCTACCTTGAAAACCTCACTAATTTGGTGGACAGGAATACTAGGAATTCAGTTTATGTTTTAGGTCTACCCATCCAATGTATACATTTCTTCTCCCGGGAAACCACAAATGTTCTCTGGTGCATTCATGATTCCATCATTGAGGATAGAATACACTGTTACTTCTTGTCTTATTTGAAGCTATGTTATTTAGACACTTTTTAAAGAAGCACGGACCTTTCTCTGTGCGTTGATACTTCAGTGTAAATTCACGTTTTTTACAGTATAATTACAATTATGCCAGAAGAACCACCAGTGTTGTTTCCCGTCTGTGAGAAAAATGTTGCTGTGAAAGAAAACTTAGGKTTTTTTTTCAAGTGGCAAAATTTGCTACTTGTCTTTTAAGTCTCCTGGTAAATAGCTATTAGCTGTSGTAGAATATACTCATTGTTGAATAGTCCATCAGGTATGTTTTCCATGTCATAGGCATAGACCACATTACTGCCAACATGATTTAAAGGCTGAAATATGTAACATGAGCAGCTATATGAAGGTGAGGAAGTTGCTGTAGGCTTCCCCTTCTTGTAAGTTATGCAGCAAAAAACGAGATTGGTTTGAAAATGTTCTTTGGGCACCTTTAAATAAGGCTTTTAAACTTCATGCTAGAGCAGTGTGTCTGGAATGAAGAGAGGCAGAGCTTGCAGCAGGTGTCTATTTTACCAACACAGCATCACTCACTATGTTCTCTGCTCCCTAATAGGCAAACAGGTTTATCAGCATTTCAGTGGGAATACAGCCAGTACATCCACAGTGATACCTGTGGTAATATCATAATTATGGGAATACTGTTGTCCTYATTTCTGTAGACACACCTGCAATTTTTCAGAATTCAGGTTCTTGATTGTCTACTTGTTTTGCAGAATTTTTGGGAATACTATATAGTTTATCTTGAACTTTAGTTTGGAGACTATTAAAAACTTAGTGAACAAAACCCCAGCTTCTGTAGAAGGCTACCTACACTTGAAGTCCTTTTAATTTTCTTTTCTTCTTCTTCTTACCCCTTGCTCCCTCCCAATCCCCCCAGCCCTAAATACATTGACTTAATAATTAACTACTGAAGTGGACCAATGATGTGATCTCAGTTGTATGCCTTTACCTAATCAAATCCTTAGTGACTTAAATCACTGATGAGGATAATTTTTTCTCTCTTACAGAGAAAGTAAATTTAATTAAAATGTCAATATTGCCTAATGCAGTTATTTTCTCACAGTATAACAGAGATTGTTACAGACAGCTTAAAAAGCAAACAATGCTTGGAGTTTATTATGACTAAACTGATACTGGAGAAATGCATAAAAATTTTCTTATTTGCTTCTATAGCTCATAAAATTAGTAAAAGAGTTTGCTTCTGAAGGACACAAGAATGATTAACAGTAGTAATAAATCAGTTTAATCAGTGCTTAACTCTTAATGATATTGTGCTGTAACTCTTAATTACTGTTGTTCTGTAACTCCAGGTTTTGTTGTTCAGAATATACAATCTATTATTGATAACTGTGTAGGTGAGACTACAGTATAAATACTGTCTTTTCCAGGAAGTTTGTAAGCCTTGTACTCTGGAGTCGTTAACTGCATACATTTGAATCTAAGCACAAATGTGCTGTCTCACTTCCTTCCATGCCTTATTTTTCTTAGGATTATCAAATGTCATATCAAATGACACACATATCAAATGAGTTGATATTTTTACCTTGGTATCTTGCATTCCATATAGTTAAGAGGAAGAAAACCTAGGCCCTTAGGTTGAGGCACCTTGAGTGAGAGTGTCTGGATTTCATATAGGAGCTGAGTGCCTGAACTACAAGTTTGCTCAAGCTGGATTCTGTGAAAATCTCTTGTATATTTAATTTTTGTAAAAAATGTAGTAATCATATCTTTCTTGGCTAACTTGCACATACTGTGCATGATTCCAGAAAAATTTAAAGTTTTTGCAATAGTTACGTGAATGAATTTCAGATTATTTCTTTCTCTCATATTTGTCTTAATAGCTACGAAATCTTTCAAGCTTGGATCTACGTCATATCACAGAACTGGACAATGAAACCGTGATGGAAATAGTAAAGAGATGCAAAAACCTTAATTCTCTCAATCTGTGTCTGAACTGGATCATTAATGACAGGTAACTTCATTATTGCTTCCAAAACCAGTGTAATGCAAATTTAACTAGTTGTATTACTTGAGAATAATTCCTCATGGCTTGGGGGTCGGAGGAGATCAATCCATTAAAGCAAACAGTGTTTGCTAAGTGCTCGTTCTTGCTTGTTTTGGGTAAATCACGTAGACATGTATTTTGCAGTGTTTGCTTATTTCTGCAATAGAAGAACGTTTAGTTATGACTGGATGGCAGCAATAATTTGTTTCATGCAGATTTCAGGAGAATGTGCTCTGTACAAGGTGTGATTGAAATGTTCAATTGCAGGTATGACTCCCAGTAGGTGTGCAGATTTAAATGAAATTATATGCATGCAAACWATGAAACAAATGTTTGACTACATAAGTAAAAATAAACTGCTTGTGAATTAAATAGAGGAGTTCCTGTATTTTTGGAAAGCAGCAAGGTGGTTTGGTTTGATTTGGTTTATTTGTTTTTCGGKTTTTTTTGGCAAAGTACATCAGAATGAGAATGAAGGAATAAYTGGGTTATTACCTAGACATTTCCTTTTGACCAGAATACGTCCTATCCTTCTGTGTCATCATCTTCTGAATAAATAATTTGTTTTAACTTTAAGTACTTGAACACAGAGTATGTATAGTTGTATCACAGATGAGACAAAAAGAAAAGTACTGAAAATCTTAGAAGCAAATATTTTCTTTTAAAATCAAAAAAATTTAGCAAAGTCTGTACTTGAGGGTACAAAGGAAATAATATTTTAATTACTTCTACCAGAGTATTTCATTATAATTGGTGCTTTAAACAAAAGGAGAGAGATACTTTTAACAGAGAGGAGTTCTAAAATAGTTTCATRTAAACCAGAATAATGTGTTCTAGCAATTGTACATCTTTCCCATGATGACATTTTGGTTTTTTAAATAAGGCACGCTTCCAAGGTTTTCAGAAGTCATTAAGGGTGCACTGATATGTAGATGAGGTTAGACTTTGGTGAAAGTGAAGTGTTCTAAAAATAATAAAATTGGAATGTGCTCAATAGGAAGTATCATCAAAGTTTTGCCGTAACTCCTTTTAGTCTTTAAAACTAGTTTTTTGGGTTTGTTGGTTTCGKTCAGATCTTTAATGTAACTTCATGGGTTTTGAAAGCATTTAGTTGCCTCAGATCGTTCTGCCTGTAGAGCCTTATTTGCATATGCAGAATAAGGTTACTGTAATGAAAGCTGCTAGGATAAGCTGGAAAAAATAATAAGAGAAATGCAAATGTAAAAAACAGGCACTTTTTAGGTTTTAAATAAAGTACTTAGGAACATATACCCGTGTGCTTGAACATTTGATCAAAATCTGCTAAGTTTGATCCAAAGCACTGCCACCTATTCTTGAAAATCCTTTACTAGAATTACTATAATAGTAAGTATATATTTTAATTCTACRTATATTACTTTAAAACTTCATACTGAGTATGAATTAGAAAAGTAGTGAAGCTTTGCAAGAGAAGGAAACCCTTTCCAGCAATGACAGATAATCTGCTGCTCTGTGTAACCTGCAGTTGTTTATTTTTGTTTCTCAAAGTTTTTCCATTTCATGTTTATTTCTGATCATACTTGTCAGCAGTTATTATAACAATTAAAGTTTGGCTATTTGAATTACCTTCAGTTAAAAAAAAAAAGGAAAGAATTTAGAAAATAATTAATGCCTCTATAAGTCTCATTCATAAGCGGTTCTTATTTTAAATGTGCTGTGAAACTCCAAATACTAGTCTGAACTGAATAAAGTAGTTTCCTCTACTTAAGAACTAACTGACAATTATATAAAAGGGGCATGTTACGAGCACTGGGGTTATTGAAGTAAACACCAGTTTAGCAGAGTATTTTAACCATGCTCACTCTGAGGATATGAGTGAGCCTTTAGAAGCTCACAGAGATGTTCAGGTGCTTGGGTAAAATGCAAATTTATTTAAGTAAGTTAGCTTATTAATTATTTAAGCTTGACCTTTTCTTTCTTTTTTCMTTTGATGCCATTTCATGGCTCCTAGTCAGAGGGAATGACAGAGGAGATTCTGTGTCTTGATACCTATCCAATGCAAATGGGGTAGTAGCAAACTAATGTTTTTCCTGGCACCTGCTTTTACAATACAGATTCGTTCCATCTCTCCCCCATTTGCCCTACTCCCCCACCCCATTAACCAGCAGGTCTACTTGTGAGATCCAGCTACATAGGACTTGTATTTCAGATCTTTTCAAGCTTAGTAAGACAGGTTTTTGCTTACTCCTTGCTGGGGCTTTAAAGCCTTGCCAAACTGTCTTGCACTTGGTGCAATAAATTGAGTGTGAAAGAAAACTAGGAAGTTTTTAAAACACAAATAAAACTTACACATGTGTCTCTTAAGTAGCTCTTAAAGGCAGATGATTATTGCTTGGCAGAAGTGAGCCACTGGTTTAAAAATTTTTAGATTTCATTACTGTTTCTAGAAATCCATTAAAATCCTTTACATAAGTGAGAGTATTCCTCTAGAACACTTATAGTCCTCTCTTGCTTGTGACATGGTGTTAGAGTTAATCCTGTGATCACTACATYTCTTCTTAAATAACTGAAATTTTCAGAGTGTAAGATCACTGCTTGGCAGGCGCTAAGATTTTTGATGCTGTGATTCTTCCACATACGCAAGAATTAATGAGGACCGTTATTTCTATGTTTTGATAAAAGCTCCTTTAGGTTTTGGATATATGCATCTATAAAGCTTATGTGGGGCAGTAAAAAAATAATTTAGTTTTACCCAAGGCAAAAAATATGTTCAGTTGAGATACTCTTTACATTAGTTTGAAAATGGAAGAAAAAGAGATCTCTTCTGATGACTTGTAAAAATGTTTCTGGAAGTCATGAGTTAGGCAAGATCTGAAAAAGACCTATTAAAGTAATCTAATGTAGTGATTTCTTCTAAAAGTGTTACGACTTGCTCAAAAGCGTAATGTACTGTTTATCATGCTGGTTAAGTTTTTTATAGAAACAATCCACCTCTTTTGGAATGTGAACAAAACCAAGCTTCTAAACTCTTTTCATACAGATCATGAGTAGATTGCATAAATTCTTTGCATTGGAAAGGATTGAGTTCTCTATACATGAATAATATACTCTGAATYTTACTTTAAGTAACCTTATTACCTTGAAATTGTTTTTATGGTCACTGCCCTTGTTCTTTTGAATTTCAATTGATGAAATAAAAATAGAACATGTAGAAATAAATCTCATGGGGGATTCAGGAAATGTAGTATGATGTGCTGGCAAAAGTTTCAGTGGTGTCTGGCTTTTTAATAGTTTGCAGAACATCTGCTATTTGTTATATCCATAATAATCAGGAAGCAAACAGCAGACAATCTAACGTTTTTGTGAATCTTATCACTATGGACTGAGAGATGCAAGTCACTTCAACATCTGTATTACATAATTCACCTAGAGACAGACTTTTAAAAGCTATGCAGTGACTGTGAAATCTTGAGGGTATTTCTGCTTGCTTCAGTCATCTTACTAAAATATTTCCTTATGTTTGTATAACATATGTACAAAGGATGTTTACCCACCCTTACTGTTTCTATGTTTCTTCTCAGAAAGAAGGGAATAATGCAGATAAGGAAGGGAACTTTATTTATAGGTGCAGTGAGATTTTTTTTTGTACCATGGCACCGCTACTCACTGAGGGTAAGATTCCATCTGCAGTACAATTGGTTTTGGAGTCAAAGGACAATATTTTCACAACCATTCAGGAACGTTGGTCCTTCCACCATAGGTGGTGCCTCTTGTTCTTGTAAAAATGTCTCAAGAGAACTGTATTTTTTCATGTAATTTGTTGCACGTATAGTAGGTGACTTCAATAGCAGGTGCTAAGATTTGCACAGCATGTGGAAGTCGTTGAAAGCAAGTTATGGTTGTGACTTGGAGGCAGATATGCAGTATTTCCATGGCACAGTAAAACAGTGGGAATTTGCTTAATGACCTTGTGTGGTATTGCTTGCCACCACCGGACTTCTGATTAGTGATGAGGGGGAGAGAGGCATTAATGTGCACCTCCCCATGCCATTAGCACAGATAGAAAACCTGGATTTAGTCTCATTATTCCATTTTTGAGAAAACTGGTGTCCTCCATTTGTGTTTCCATGAAAATCCATTATGAACAAATCAGAGTAAATAGTGTAATGGAACAGTCTACCCATACTGTACTGATTAAGATTTATCAGTGACGATTATGGATCATGTCCAAGATGGGGAGGAACTTGAAAATATGGACATGCCACAGGGAGAGTAGCCCGGAAGTTAATATGCAAAAGAAATTCAGTCGAAACATGTAGTGGTTGGTAGCCAGACCATAAGCCTGAAAATGAAGCTGTTTGTACAGCTACAGAGTCAGGTGGCAGGAGAATTCATCTTCAGAGTCTCCTGCTTTATTTGACTGTGTCACTATTGCAATACTGATTTCTCTGGCTTGGGTATCACAGTTGTTAGCATAGAGCATATTGGGGTTTCCCACGTTGTTATTTAGTAAATTGATTCTGTGGTCTTCCATATATTAGAGAAGTATTGAAAACTTTATGTTGACTGCCTATCATGAGTTCATGTAAAGCCATGTAATCAGCACTGGGAGCTTCTGATGGGACCTGGACATATTGTGTGTAGTGGATACAATGCTGAAGGTTATCTCAGCAGAAGATTATCCCACTGTGTTTAGTCCCAGAGTTTGTAGAGTATCTGAATGCCCCAATATTTCATTAGCAGACATGAGCATCACGATAGTAGCTCAGTTCTTACATTGTACTTTAAAAAAATCAAGATTAGTGAACACTTGGATTATTTTCTGGGAAAATAAGAGAAGAAATTTTCTTCTTCTGAAATTAAAATTCTCTGCATATTTGATGTGGAAATTATTTTAATAAAATTGCTTCCAGAGTAAAAATTCAAAGCTTTCATCTTGCCTATCTTTTTCTTTAATCAAAAATGTCCATTTKAACTATGATGGCTGA